AGAGAAGAAATGGAGAGCTCTGAAGTGAGACAGTAACTCTGAAGGCTGCCAGCTCAGATGTTAACAAGAAGCATGTCTTGGAGATGTGCCTTATGTGAATTGAGGCACCCTTGTTTACAGGGGTTGGACCGACTTTTGGAATAGTATTTCGGCAAATCTGCTGCATGATCTTGAGGTAAATCCCTGGGCTGTATTAACTTAGACCCCAGTCCTGTTACGTATGTTTTCATCAGGGCTCCTTGCACTTAAGTAAGGTTGGCACAGCTGGGATTGCATCACTAGTTAACACAGCATCTTTCTGGTCTGCAACTCTGATCTGAGCTTGGTCTCAATTTCACAGCATGTGAATTTTGGCATTTCTGATATTGTTGATAAGCAAATGCTGTTAAAGTAACACCAGCTGTATACAGAGCTTGCCTTAAAGTGACAGTTTGTGAAGCTGATATAAAAGAAGCTGCTCGGCATTTCTCTTGCCAATCCCCTTGGTGTTTTTTTTCCTGCTGGACTCATTATTGTTCTTTGGATACCTGACCACCAGGAAGGACTTGCTATACAACTTGTGTGCAGAAGAACTTGGAAAGCTGCTTTGAGGCAGTGGCAAGGATGTCCCATCAGAATGAGGAAGAGATGTCTCCCATGACAAAGGACCTTTTGCTCCCTCAGGGATGGTTGCACGTCTTGGTGGTGGTGGTTTCCTCCTCTCACACAAAACAAAACAATAATTGGCATGCTGGTTTTGCTGTGTTAATGTAGCGTGGTGTGGGAGGTGCTATGAAGTCTTTGTTACTGAAGTCTGGAGAGCCTCCAAGGAGGAGCGCTTGCCTAAACTAGCATATAAATTTTGCTATGAACATGACCTAGCAGTGCCTTTAAGTAGGGGAATATCAGTCATCTAACTCTGTATGACTGCAGATTTCAGTCATTGTCAATAGTTCCTATTCTGAATAGTTGTCAAGCATTGCTATTAAGCCAGAGATGATGTAAAAGTGATAAACGGGGTGAAAGGTAAAGGTTCATCTGTTAGGGAAATATGGGAAGTCCCTGAACTGTTCATAATAACTTGTGGTTGATCTTAACAACGTATCTCTAGATGTGCTTTCATGAAACAACATTTCAAGCTTGGCTTTGGAAATAGTTGCCTATCTGGCAACTATCTTATCTGGAGATGAGAGTCTTTTTCACATCTGTTGTAAATAATGTGTGGATTTTTTTTTATATTTTTTTTTCCCCTCTTTGACCTAGCTGGATATTTCTCAAGTGCTGCATAAGACCTATACATGTGAGAATTGCTTAGTGATGTATAAGTGAAATTTCTCTTTTGGCTGTTTTGTATAGGCTGCTAACTTGCTGTTTGCTTGTTTTTATGGTGCTGATAAATTAAAAGCCTCTTCTATGGGGTTGAGGAGGGAAATCTTTCCAGGGAAAGGTTTGTATGTTTTCCTTGCCTAGTGAAGTGCGGTGTCTTGAAGTGTGGCATACTGTGGTGTGCCTTGTGTAATTAAAGCATCCAAGCTACTTTGTCTTGAGCAGTTGGGATACCAAAATTTCAAAATCAGACCTGTGGTGGTGTTTGTGTAGTTTCTATGATCATGCTGCTTTCTAACTTTGTGTTAGTTCAGTGGGTAACCCCAGCTGCAGAACTATTTTTAATCTGTTCAGGAGCCTGTTGTTTTATACTCATTCCCCAAAACTGCTTCAGGAGTCCATGCTAAAGAATTTAGTTCTGCTTCAAGGTACTTGAGTCTGCCTGCTCAGCACCAGTTCACAAACTGGGAGAAGCCAATGTTACTGGTAAGTGATAAATCCAAAAGACCCTCCAGCCTGCTTTTGCTCATCTTCTGAGTAGAATGGAGGTTATGCCTTATTTTGTTCTGTGTTTTGATCTGTAATACATAAACACATTATTTTCCTTTCTCTGTGATGGATTATCTAACATTATGATGGCTCTTTGTAGTATAAAGCTTTTCCTTAGCATAGGATCCAGTTGAAGTGGTGGTGGATGGTGCAAATTCCTGTCTAGCAGGAAGGAAGGGAAATTACTCACATGCTGCATGTGGTGTCTCTTGTATTCCAAACTGGATATAAACAAGCTTCTAATTTGATCAAAGATCAAATTTTAGCTTTGATGATAGTGCCTTTTTTAGGTACTTTTTTAGTCTGCCTGGGAATAAGTGGAAGGATTAGATTAAGTAGAGTTAAGGAAAACTGTCTGTTTTGCTTGGTTGCTGGAACATACATAGTTTTTGAAAATACGATGAGGGACATGTATGAAAATGAGGGAAGAAGAAAGCTGACATAGAGGACTTAAAACTTACATGCTGTAGCATCTGGTAGATGTAAGCCCTTATGAATCCTCAAAGGCTCCTGGCCAAGAAGGGAGCGAAATGGGGAGCTGGTCTCATCCTTGCTGGTTTTATGAAACATGCTTAAATCCCCAGGGAGATCTGGCACTAGAAGTAAAATTGCATTAGCATAAGTAATCTGTCCTCTGGAATGCTCTGTGCAACCTTTGCACTACATGCCACGCTGGTGTCAACCTTGTGGTGGTGCTTGCATCTCCTGGGAAGGCATGTGTAGAGGTCAAAGGGAGTTAACCTTTCCAGTCTTTCTCTTTGCCCACGTCCCTCCCATTGCCCAGGTGGGGTGTTGCATCTTTCTGGAGTTACAGGAACCTGTGGACCAAAGGTCAGACTACTTTAGAAGCAACAGGGTAGATAAATGCATCTAAGCAGTAGAAACTTACTTGGGTTACATGACTCTGCAATTTCTCCTTTGAGAGGAGTTCACTGCCTCCTTTGCATAAGTGTCGAGATACTACAGAATAGTAGGATGTTGCAAGCTTTTGAGACATTACAAAGGCATGTCGTAATAGCTTGTGTCCTCATGGCTTGTGCTGAGGCTCAAACTTTTTGACATTAATGTGTCTAATGTGAACTTGTAACTGAAGGATTTCTGTAGCAAGAGCATTGTGTAGGGAGTGTTGCATGCTTATTCTGAGCCCCAAACAGAAATTGTTCTTCCAGGTTTTGCAAAAGGTGGCAGTGCTAGGTTTTGATTACCAGTTTGAGAGGATTTGGAAGATGGAAACTTACTTTCTCAGCTAGTGTATATGACTGAGACCATTAGCCAAGTATGTTTTTACTCTTCTATGTAATAAGTGACTTACCTGCTTGTGGCGATTATAATTCAATGAATACAGTGGCTCAAGTCTGGTCAGAGAACGATTGTGTAATGTATTTGTTGGTCTGCCTGTACCCCCATATCCATTCAGGAGAAGAAATGTAGAAATAGAGGTACTACAAATAGTTTCTTTCTTGAACAGTATTTTAGTTTGGTATTTCCCAGAACTTTCATGCCTATAGCACTGCTGAGGATAATGTGTAGCCACAAAGTACTGAGCTATTCCTATAGGTAAAATTAGCTCCTGGAACAGCTGTTGCCTTAGCAGCAGAACTGAAAACAAGCCCAAGTGAATATTTTGGCAGGGTAGGCTGTGATTAATTAAGACTCAATACAGTAAGCAGTCCTGGCTGCTGGGGAATTAGTGGTGGAGGTAATGCCATGAGACAAGCTACCTTTCAAAAGATAACTGTGTCCCCAAGTGCCTCACAGCTCTTTTGGAGGGGAGAGATGGAAACTGCCTGGTTTAGCATTGGTCTGGGTCCTTTCTGTGCAGACCAGCGAGGACCATCTGTATGCTGTTAAAACGAAGCATGCCTTTGATACTGCTGAAGTTGTTCAGGTTGGAACAGGATAATATCCTGATCTTTGGAAGTGAGCTCATTTCAGCCAGGTCACCTGTCTTGGAAACACCTATTATAACAGTATTCCTAGAAATAGTATTAAGTCGCATGGGTAAGGAATTAATGCACATAATGGGGAGCAACAAAGTCAGTCCTCTTTGGCTGAGCTTTCCATCCCTTCACAAAGCTGCCTTGTGGGGAAAGGAAGGATCCAGGCCAGAAGGGCTACTCTGTCATCATGGTCAGGCTTTGGGGTGGTAAAGGGGTTGTGACTGTTAACCCAGTAAAAAGGAAGCCTGACGTAGGAGGTGGAAAGGCTATTTAAAAGCAGTGTGTGGAACTGAGTCAGCTGAAGGTCAAGACAGCGTTTTGGCCTGAGAACAGGTTAAACTGGCTCCAGCCCCATGAGGGCTGGAAATGAGAGGAAGTCTCCTCATGCCTGCGTGGCCCTGCCAGAGGGGTTTGCAGTAAGCATAGCTTCTGGGAAGCTTTGATGTTCCTTGGAGAGCAGAGCTTACTTTATCACCTATTTCAATCTCCTTCTCCCAGCCCACCTACTAGAAAAGAGCAGGTTAACCCCAGTGGGCTGGCAGCCCTTCCTTCCGAAGGACAGGGGAAGAGGCTCTCTGCAGCTGTACACTAGAGGTGGTGATTTGCCCTGTTTTTCTGCTGCTCAGAGTTCTAAAATGCTAAGAAATGAGCAGCTGCAGTGTAAGGGAAATTGCAGTTTTGCTCAGCTTGGAAAAATATTGGGGCAATCCTATTTTGAATGAGACTTCCTGTGACTGCAAATGCTGTTTTGTTTTTTTTTTTTTTAGCTGAGTTGTGTGTCTGTTGGTCTGTGAATGTGTGCTGTACTGCTCAGGGTTGTTGTCCTGCTCAGCTCCTGGAACTTCCCATGCATCCATGATCCAGTGGCTGGCGTGCAAGTAGCAAGGCTGGCAGAGGCCTATCAGGCTTTTAGTGGCTGTGTATCTGAACAGGAACTGAACCATCTGTGGAGCACAGTCAGCTCTGAAGGCTGGCAAGCAGAGTTGGGATGTAGTGGCTAGCACTAAGGTTGATTATTAAATACACTGAGGCAGTGTTCTCTGGAGGAATTGTGTGTGGACCCAGCTGAGGAGGATGGGTGATGGAAGATATTCTGTGAAAATCACAACCTGTCTTTGATTAACTGCTGCTTTTTTAAGTGGCTTTTTTCTTGAGTGAATACTGCATTTGTGAAATTAATGTTTTCTTTCTTTTCAACAGTGGGCAACTATACGGATAGAAAAAGGTGTCAAAAAGCCACAGCCACCGATAAAGACTTCTGCTACTAATGGTGAGAGCTCGGGGTAAAGTCCAATTGATAAGATTAATGTTCTAAAGTAGAACTGAACCCTTTTCAAATGACGTTAGATGTGTACCTGAGAGAGCTGGAAAAGCTAACTTTTGCATTTAATTGTTTTGCAATGCTACTGGCACAAGAACTGTTCCTGCAGAATGAAACACTACTTATACTGGCTTGTACTGAATGGTTGAAAAATCAGGGGATGAGGAAATGAAGGGTATGAAATAACATTAAGTTTAACAAAACAAAGTAGAGCTTAAGATGCAGACTGCCTTCAGTTGAGGGAAATGTTAGAGTTACAATACAAGCTTGAATTTTGTCTTCAACTCTTCAGGCTGCTGCTTGCAGGGCTGCTGGCCAGCTATCTCAGTCCTAACTGCATCCGAGTGCACATTAATGGCTGGGGACATCTGAATGTATAGTGGACAGCACTTTTCTTTCCCAAGCTCAGTGCTTTTTCTATTGTAGGACTGCTGTATGGAAGTGTGTGGTGTTTTGGCTGCTATTTATCTTTTGCCCCTGGGAGTTACCTCAGTGTCTGCCAGGCAAACTTCTTGTACTCACTATTTGTAGAACAACAGCAGAAGAGTTGCTTCATATTTCTTCCTTTAGCCTAATTTTGAAATTAGTTCTTTTACTATATCTTAACCCATGCTGTGCATGTGTTGTGGCAGGCTGTACTAGGTCAGAGTTGGCTTAAGAGTTGGGAGCTATAAGCACAGTGAGAGCAGTCTGAGTTTGCCCAGGAAATATGAGGACCCTGAACAAGGCATTGCAGCTAGTGCTTGGGTATCTTCTGGTTCCTGACTGCCTTGCTATTGGTATTGATTTGCTCATTTCTTGACAGTATTTAACAGCAGTGTCAGCATTTTCTGTGTGCTCTCTCATTAGGCAGCACAGCTGGAACCAGGACCAGCTTGCCAGGTACTAGACAAGTCAATTGTTACCTGATTCTACAAATTAGCTCTTGCAAACATGATACAGTAATAGGGACTGAACTGGTTGTGTGCCTTTCATCTCCAAAGGAGTATCCTTATCAATACTGTAAACACTGGTATTGCACTATCTGCAGGCTGGGCATGAAACAGGCTCTGATGGTAGCACATGCTACTGTCAGTTAGCATGTGTAATAATAAACAGGAGGTACTGCACAGCAGCTTTTGAAACAGGTTAAAATTTGTCTTATTTAATTACTGATTTCAAAATGGCTTTCAAAGTATTGCCCGTGAGTGTCCTGAAAGTTTTGGGTTTTGTTTTCTTTTTTTTTTTTTTTTTGTTGTTGTTTTGTTTTTTCTTTTTTTTTTTGTTTGTGGGTTTTTTTTTTTTTTTTTTTGATGGGTGGGGAGGAGGCAAGGCAAGTGATCCTTCCAAATAATGTCAGTGCCCTGCTATCTTTCACAGGTTGTCAGGGATGCAGCAAGGTATCCTTTTTCTTCCTGTAAGGGTGATAGTATCCCATCATGTCATGGGTCAGTGAGTGGGCAAGAGATCCAGCTGTACTGCTTTAGCTGCACAGTAGGAGGTTTTGTCTTCCTAGACATCTGATCATTCTGGCATGTAGCTTTTCCTTTTCCAGAAAAGAAAGGTAAAGGGAGAGAGACCTGGCTAGTTGATTATGTTCTATGAGCTATCTTTCCATAAAACCACATGTACCTGTTCCCCTGTATGTGTGACAGAGTGGGTGTATAGTGCTAATATGTGCTATAGTTCAGAACTTAGATTAATCTGAGCGCATTCCCCTGTCTGGAGCATTAGTGCTAGTTAGTAAAAATGGCCTGAAGTCATTTATATAGGTAATTGCATGCAGGCTGTGTTCAAGTGATCTTATGGATGGGGATATAAACTGCAGTGGTGTCATGAAGCACACTTTTAATATCCTTTTCATACTTGAAATTAAAAAGAAAACCTTTTGCCACTGTAGATGACTTACTGTAGTAAGCTGTTCCCTTTAACTATTCCTTACTTGAGAAGGTATAAGGAGCAGGGGAGATGTGGAGTTGACAATGCCAAGCTTTTGGGAGCTCTTTAGGCATAGGACTGACTTGTCAGTAGGAGTCTGAGTTCCTGTATGTGGATGAAAGGGTGTAGGTGTAAGCCTAAAAGTGCAGTATATAAGTTGGCATCCCTGAGGCGACAGAATATGAGCAGGTGGAGAGGCCCAGTTGCATTGTACAGTATTTACTGAGGAAGAAGAAATTCTTGGTAATAACGAATTATGGAGTAGTGATTAAAACTGGGTATATGTAAGTGTCTGTGTGTGTGTTACACGTGCTGAAGGGGAATGTGTAGCACCTCTTCAATCGTTCCTGACCATCCAGTCCTCACTAGGAGGTAGGTCAGTATAGGAGGGAGCCTTGTGTTGCATTACGCATTTTTTTTCTTGTTCTGAGGCAGATCAAAAATGGTCCTCCTGAAAGATCTTAAATCCAGGGTCCCTTAATATAAGAGAACATGACTCAGGAGATACCACTTTTCTCTACACTACCAAATCTAGTGTATTTCACATCTGTTTCCAGAAATGGCAGCCAGTGCCCCTGTGTTGGAGGTGTGATAAGGAATAGTCCTAAGAAAAATGTTGGCTGGTATAGTTGCTGTGTGGGAATTATCTGGTGCTGTCACGTTAATGTCCCTTGGTGTTAGAGGGCAGTGTGTTTATGTGCCAAGTCCAATGGCAGGTAGCTCTTGGCTGACCAGGTACTTGGAGGCTGTATGTGTATCTCATTGCACTAAATAACCAGCTCTCAGCTGTCCGTGTGGGTGTTATCTGTGTGGAAAGGCAGTTCTCTTCAAGTTGGTGGGTTCAAAAACCACAAAAATGCTGTTAGGTCAGAGTTTTGAAAGTGACATCCACTAAAAGAAAAGCTTATGCAAATAATGTAGTTGTAAATAGGTAGTGTAATATTTGAGCCTGGTGTGGTTTGGCTGACTAGAGTGTATGAGCTTTAAGACTTGGGGCTTATGCTATGACACAGTGTAAAGTAGTGGCTGCAGGTTTTCTTTGTTTGAGTGATGTTTGTTATACTCCTGCATAATATACTCCTGCTGTTCTCCTTTCATCTGTCTTTGGCAAGCTCAGCTCTGCCCATGGCCAAGGGATTAAAGGCCATTAAATGTTACTTCTGATTATAAGAAGGCTAAGTATATTACGCTAGCAGCATGTGTGTTAATTCTATTCATAATCCCTTCAGGTGCTGCTGAGATCTTGGCTCTCTGAGTAGCTTGTCCCAAGTCTGCAAGGCAGCTTGTGCACGAGGATGTCGCGTGACAATGACAGCACAGGCTGCTGAAGCAGGGCATTAGAGCTGTGGTCTTGGCTGTGCCAGCAGTGTGTTAAACTTGAACCCTGGGCTGGTTTCAGCCAAGAAGTAAGAGCCAGGGGAGCCAACTGTTTGGTTGATGCTGAACTGGGGGCTGGATAAGGAGGAAGGGTTCCCAGTTCTCCTGGGAACTGGAGAGAAGCGTGGTACTTGTCTGATGGGTGCTGGAGAGTTCCCCTCGCGTGTGTTTTGGCTATGACCTGTCTCCTACCCCAGGAGCAACATAGAGCAGACAGGTTGGGCTGATTCACCTGCAGTCTTGGATGTTTCACAGTGTAGAGATTTAAGGGACTGAAGGAGAAAAATGGAACCAGAAACTAGAGTGTTGGTTTGGGTTTAAAATACAATACAAGTGTTCTTCATCCTGCTAAATGTTTGATGTAATGCATGTTTATATAATTTAGATCCCAAAGGGCATGTGGGTGTTTAGGTGTGCCATATTAATGATTTATATTTATAGCCTAGTGATAGGACAATGCACTGTGATTGTCTGCTGGTGGAGTTGCTAGCTGTGGCTGTCAAGTTCAGAGCTGAAGATGCTAGCAGGTTTTGTTACAGTGCGGCATCTCTTGCATGTTGTTCTTTAGTGTTTACGTCAGTAATCTGTGGGACTTGTATCTTCGAGCTACTTGCGTTGCTCCATATGCTACAATGCAATACAAAGATTTTCCATATCACTTATGATTTAAATATTGCATGTGATTTGCACAGCAAATATATTCACAGAATTTTTATGCTGGCTTACATCCCTTGGATACAGATTTCCACATTGTGGGAGGTGTATTTGTAGGAAATGCCTAGTAGCTTGAAGCAGTTGGATGCTTTCTCCTTTCCCATTTTTTCATCTCAACCTGGAAGCACAGATTATGCAATTTGCTAGAGGGTGTCTGATAGAGTGGCAACCTGAACTTGGACCTCTGTAATCCTAGTTGAGTGTCTCAAGGAGTGGTTGTTATTGTTAAATGTTACTCTAAATTTCTTCAGTTGTCAATTTCTGGAACCAAACTTGCTTACCAGAAAGCAGCTACTTGATCTTTATGTTTAGCTTACACAATTTGTTCTTGCCTTTGAAAGTTCTTTGAAATTCATGCTTATCAGACTGTAAGTATTAAAAACAAAAAGGGAGAAGACAGAATAATTGTAGTGTAATTCTAAACTCTCCAGGTTTCTTTTCTATTGCCAGGCTTATGTGGGCAGAGTTCAACTGAAACACAACTGTTAGTGCTAAACTATATCAAGGCACCACTAGGCAGAACTTTCTTTGATATTGTGTGTGTCAGAGTGGTTTTCTTTGATTTGAAATAAAATAAAAAATACTGTGGTCCTGTTTGTGCTTACAGAAAAGACTTATGCTGTGGAGGGAGAGAGGTGTATTTGATTCAGAGCTGGTCTGTGCACAGTTGCTATTGCAGCCTGGGGGTTTGGCAGGTAGCAGTAGAGCATATCTCAGCTGATTCTGGCTGCGGGACACCAGATCGAACTATCTGTTGTCCCACAACAGATCTTGTTGTCTAACAAGAGATGGGCCTACGGAACAGGGAAGCCTTCATGGGAAAGACTGAATGCTGTTAAATATACAGAGCACTGGAAGGGAATGAAAAGGGCAAGGTCTCGCTTGGTTTCCTTTGGAAGGGTAAGATGGTCTTGGAGATAAAGTTGTGGAGTTGAGGACTTGTCAGATGGTGGGAAAGGCTTTGTCTTCTTGCTTCATCTTCAGTGGGCAACATAACTTGATATATTTGATGTTCAAGGTGTTCATGCGAGGAAGAAGAGCTAGATCTGGCCTGTTGAAGAATATGCTGTGTTCAATTACCCATCTGGTCTTGTTATTGTAGGAGGGGCTCTAAGAGTAAATTTGTCTCCTTAAATAATGTGGAGTGACTAGTGATTTGGAGGATGACTGTTACTGTGTAGAATGTTTTCCTTATATATTTAACCTTTCTTTCCAAAGGTATCATTGAAAGAGATGAAACGCCTATGGAGAAAGAAATTGTGCATCCCCATCGAGTGGACTTTGAATTCTCTGACATATTCTACTTCTGCAGAAAAGGGTTTGAGGCCATTGTGGAAGATGAAGTCACCCAAAGATTTTCCTCTGAAGAGCTGTTCTCTTGGAACCTCCTAACAAGGACTAATGTCAACTTCCACTACATCAGCCTGAGGCTGACTATTGTGTGGGTCATTGGGGTTATAGTTCGATACTGCTTCCTGCTGCCTTTGCGGTAAGCTCATGGGTGCTGAGGGATTTTGTCAGTCTGGGAACACTGAATTTTGTGTTTTCTTGGGAAATGTCATCTCAGCTTTTTTAACCCAAAAGCAGCATTAGCAGATACAGATGATGAACCTGCTTAAACTCTCTTTCAAATGGTTAAGAAGCCATTCAGAACAATTTTGTCTTGCTGTCTACTTTGGAGAGTAGATTAAGGCTAGTGGTCATCATTTCTGTGAATGCTTCCCTAAGTTGTGTTTATTGGACAGCCTAAGTGTATGTTGGGCAAGCTCTAAAACTCCCTGACAGTATATGCATTGGGCTGTCTGAATCTGCTGCCTCTGGTAGACCATGATTTTGAGCAATGTCAAGGAATTCTCAAGCAATACCAGAGAACTACTGGGTTAAAGTGAACTGAGGAATAACTGAATTCCTGCAATCCCTTTCCATTTTAAAGTCAGTGACATTTAAATGAACAAAACTACTTATGTTGATGTGATGTCTATTTTGTCTGTAGCATTACCCTTGCTGCCATTGGGATTACCTCAATGATTGTCGGGACAACGATCGTAGGACAGCTGCCTAACAGCAGGTAGGTACTGTGAGTGGTGTGTGAGGCAAACTTGCCAAGTTGCATCAGTGGAAACAGCTCAGGATTAGGACTGGACAGATTTTGCAAGTCATAGACTACTGATACTCTGCCCACAAGCTTGTGGCCTTGCTTTAGTGACATTTTGAACTTTGACTGGGGCTGACTTCTTGCCAGGCTTGGCACTGAGTGTAGTGGTTTCTGATGGGCTCCTCTTGCTGTCATGAGAGATTCAAAGGGGGAGTGTTGTAGGGGAGATAATGCTGGGACAAAATATACACAGTGAGGAGATGACAGCCTTGCCCAGGTGGGTGAGACCAAGGGTATGGCATGTCTTGGCTGAGCTGCTGTGGCAAATGAGTAGTAGAGCTGGGAATAACCTTCTGCTCCAGAGTACTGGGAAAACTTCAGCTGTGAGTTGTGTTGAATAGGCTGGAGAATATTATGTGTGTCTAGCTACTTTGCAGGATGATCCTGTGGACTGTGATTTCTTTCAGTATGAAAAACTATCTGAGTGAAGTGGTTCACCTCACGTGCTCCCGCATCCTTGTCAGAGCTCTGTCTGGTACTATCCATTACCATAACAAGTGAGTGAGCTGACCTTATGATAGCAAAAGTGTGTGTATACTTCTGTGTGTGTGAGTATCCCGTTTGAAGTGGGGAAGTTCTTCCCTGATGTGCAGGTTAATGTCACACTAGGTGTTGACTTGCTTGACAGCTTTATGGAACTGTTGTGTTTGTAGTGTGGTGCTTAGCACACTGGTAGTCTAACCAAAAATTTATGTAATTGCAGGGAAAACAAACCTCAGAAAGGAGGAATTTGTGTTGCCAACCACACATCACCGATAGATGCGATCATTTTGACAAATGATGGATGCTATGCAATGGTATGAGGAGACCTATGGTCACCACAGCAGAGGGAGAGAGACCAGGAAAGAGAAAGATTGTGGGGGATTGGTTGTGGAGTTCCGTACTGAACTTTCATAGTAGAGATGTTAACTTCAGCACTAGTATGTGGGGAAAAGTACAAGTTATGTTGAAATTGGTCTACATATAACGTGCTAGTGAAGTGTTCCTGACAGTGTCAATGCTAGGCTCTTCACCTGGTATGTGTATAGATCCTTTCAGGTGAATGCATTTCTGTAACTTTATGGGCACTGCCTAGTCCTGGTTTGCAGTCTCCAGTGTGTCTGGGTTTTTCTTGCCGGGCACCAGGAAGAGAAAGTTCAGCTTCTCAGGTGCCTCACTTACTGATGTGCCTTATTGGGCTTGCAGGTTGGCCAGGTTCACGGTGGACTAATGGGAGTTATTCAGAGGGCCACAGTCAAGGCCTGTCCTCACGTCTGGTTTGAACGCTCTGAAATCAAAGACCGCCATCTAGTGACAAAAAGGTGAGGTGGGGATTGCAGTGCTAGTATAACTCCGGCGCCTAGTGGTGCCTTAGAAGCCATGCCCGGGTGTATAATCCCAGAAGAGTCATTGAGCAATCAAAGACCCAGATGTGGAATTAAATCTTTGGAAAGACAGAAGCCCAAGAAGCTAATGAGGTTGTAAATGGAAACAGGGAACTCAGACCCTTGGGATCTTAAGAGGGCAAAAGGCTGATTTGCAAAAGCATCTTCTTTTAGCAGGAGCCATATCTAGTTGTCATATTCTAAATTATGACTGCTGCTTCTAAATGCTAGTTACAAGGGTACAAGTTATCTGTAATGCCACATTACTGTTGGCTTGAGTGATGCAGGGTATTGCAAATTGGTAGATGTTGATAGGATTGGAAGCAATCAGTATAATAGTGGCTCAATGGCAGTTCTTGAAGTGAGTTGGAGGTGGTGTGCAGCAAACTGGATCTTTCAGAATGACCCAAATATGCTTGCCTGTGTGGGCTTTGGTACAGTAGACTGGTCAAAATGCCAGATTCTCAGCTCACCAACAAAGGCTTGAAAATATTATACAGGATGAAATGGTTCAGATCAAAGGCCATGGTAAAATCCAGTCTAGATTGCACCAGACTGTCAAAAACAATCTAATTTGGGTAGCCATCAGCATAATAACTAATGTCTGACGTATTCAGACATACATTTTGAAAGGATGTTGTTGTGGTTTAAGCCCAGCCAGTAACTCGGAACCATGCAGCTGCCTGCTCACTCTCTCCCTTCTTCTTCCCCCTGCTCCCAGAGGGATGGGGAGGAGAATCGGAGGAATGTAACTCCCACGGGTTGAGATAACAACACTCCAGTAACTAAGGTATAATACAAACCACTACTGCTACCACCAATAATGATAAGAGGAATAACAAGGCAAGAGGACACAACTGCTCACCACCTGCTGACCGATACCCAGCCCGACCCGAGCAGCGATCTGGGCCTTCCGGGTGACTCTCCCCAGTTTATATACTGGGCATGACGTGCTGTGGTATGGAATACCCCTTTGGCTTGTTTGAGTCAGGTGTCCTGTCTTTTCTTCCTCTTGGCTTTCCCTCCTCCCTGGCAGAGCATGAGACTGAGAAAGTCCTTGGTCAGAGTAAACATTACTGAGCAACAATTAAAAACATCGGTGTTATCAGCGTTGTTCCCAGGCTGAAAGTCAAAAACACAGCCCTGCACCAGCTACTAAGAAGGAGAAAAAATGACTGCTGTAGCTGAACCCAGGATAGATGTGAAGATAATTAAAACTGTGACTTTCTGTTTAAGAGAAATACTGATAAAAAGAGGTCTTTCTGTGACACAAACTGTCTTGACTTTATTTGAAACTGTGAGCCACTAGAAATAACAAGTTTTGCTTTTTTGGGTGGGGGGTAAAAACGTGCCTAGTTATAAAACCAGAACTGCTTACAAAGGCAGTCTTCTGCAGAATGTCACCAAAGGCGTACCCATGAACACTGTAGCACAGTGACAGAAATTCTTCTGAATTTTTAAAGAACTTTAACTCTGACAGGTTAACTTCTTCATCACCTTATTGGCCTCTGCGCAGCAGGACAGCTTTGCCAAGTCATCTGAGTATTAATCACATAGCATGAGCTGTAGGCATGTAGGAGTCCTTTTTAAGAAATCTGCTGTTAAATGAGGAGAGCCTGGACACATCACTGTGCAAGACTTTCTTATGTAGGCAATTTCTTGCAGGTAGAGTTAATCAGACTTAATTGGACTGACTTAGTGGCATACATTTACTAGCTTCCCTGATGGGCATTAATAAAGTAACTTAGAGGAAAGAAAACAGCATGTTGCCTGAGTGAATCTGCTAGGGGCCTAAGGGATGACTTGTACAAAGCTTCGTGTTTGTTAGAAACACAAGCAAGTACGAATTAGTGTCCAGTAAAAGGCTTTGGTTTTAAACAAATGTGTTATCTGTAAAGATATTTTTTTAATGCACCTGCTTGGGGAAAGAATAGTGGAAAAGAACTGTTTTAATCTTTCCTTTTGCTTCCACAGACTCAGGGAACATGTGGCAGATAAAAACAAGCTCCCAATCTTAATTTTTCCAGAAGGTGAGAAGCTGAAATGTTCCTTATCTCTGTTCACTGTAGAAGTCATGCCTGCTCTCTTTCCATAGCTTCTGATGCTCAAATGTATCTTCACCTCTGGCTTAGATTTTATTAGGGCATTCCTATTTTTCATCTTTAATATGAGATTACACAAAGACAACACAGTACTGTTCCAGGTTGTTGGGTATCCTGGCAGAAGCTGTAGGTGGAAGAATGGGAAGATTGTTTCTTTTGCCCTGTGAATATCAATATACTGTCTTACAGATCTAACCTCTGTCTTGTGCTTTTTCTCATACATGTTCTGGCTTCATTTGGAGTCAGTCACAAGACAAAGAATGAAAGCAAGCAGGGGAGAGATGCTTAACATACCCATAAAGGGTCTGCATTTCCTCCTCACTGAGTCTGAGACCTGCTCGTTGATGGAGTGTTGCTATCAAAATGTGGTAGGCTGTGTGAAGTAATGTCTTCAGTTTCTTTTCTGGACAGGCACCTGCATAAACAATACTTCTGTGATGATGTTCAAGAAGGGGAGCTTTGAAATAGGAGGGACAATCTATCCTGTTGCAATCAAAGTAAGTGGAAATGGCTGTCAGCCAAATTTCAAAGTTTGGGATCTGCTTTTGTCAAGGTGTTAGGAAGCTGTCTAGGTACAGTTGCTAATGAAAGCTTTAGCAATTGGCTACATGCTGTGGAAGACTCCTAGAGTATAAGTGGCTGAAATGGAAGTAAAGTCTTTCAGCCTATAGAGCCTGGTTGGTAGGACCTGATGGGCTCAGCCTCTACCTTTAGAAAGTGGGGGGGAAGGGAGATCTGGCTAATCCTTGCCAGTGCTGAAGGGAAGAGAAGCATGCAGCTTGCAGCAGACTTAGCCCTTTTGGCTGTCAGGGCAAGTGGATAACGTGCTCCTGGTTATATCATGTAATCACAAGCAGCACTAATAAGCACAGGTTTATTGGTCTAAAGCCCCATTCTGAGCAAATGTATCAGTTGTCAATTTACTCTAGGATGTGACTGAAAGCATCTACCTTGGATCTGAGATAGGCTGTGATGGTCTTAGGGGAAGGGGTTTTATCATATGTTTTTTTTGTGATCCCTTATAGTATGATCCTCAGTTTGGAGACGCATTCTGGAACAGCAGCAAATACAACATCGTGAGCTATCTGCTGCGAATAATGACCAGCTGGGCCATTGTTTGCAATGTGTGGTACATGCCACCAATGGTTAGACAGGTAATCTAGCATCTGGTTGACTGACTACTATTTAAGAACCTGACTCTGTCTGCAAGTGCCTTTCCTTTTCCCCAAAACCCCTACCTACCCTGCGTTTCCAAATCAGAGTTTTATGCTGGGCTTCTGTTAGTGTTGATTTTGTATGATTGGACTAGCTTTTCCTCATACAGCTTAGCACCATCAGCAGTGCACTGAATATGCAAAGGAGAGCAATAAACATAGCGCTGTTCACAGTAGCAGTGCTGTTAATGTTCCATCCTGTTGGAGCAAAATTTTCCCTTAATTTCAACACTTCAGGGGAAAAATGAGCTAAATCATTATCACATTCGAACATCAGATTATGTTGGCATGATTAAGGGAACGATTGTTTGGCAGTGAGCTAATTTGATGAGGCAGTGAATGAAAAGTGTTATGGAAGTCTGTTTCAATTCACTTCTCTCTGCTTTCATCATGTTGAATTTATGACCCTTGAAGGAAGGTGAAGATGCTGTTCAGTTTGCCAACAGAGTGAGGTCAGCCATTGCTCGACAAGGAGGACTGACTGAGCTTCCGTGGTGAGTGATGCCATCCTTGTTATTGTTCATGGACTATCTGTTGTTTGATTGAGAGGTGCTTCCTCGCTTAGCTTTGTGACAGATAGCATTCAACATAACTTCATTCTGCTCAGGAGAAAACAAGGGAGTAACTTTGCATGTGTGTATGTGAAAGTAAAAATAAAGATGCATGTAGCACTTACGCAGTGAGTTTAACCTAAAGGCTTCATACTATTGAAGAGGGCTCCTTCACAGTTGTTTCTCATGTTGAGACTCGTGCTGAGATTAAGGTGCAGAAGTGAAGTTACTCTGCAAAACTGACAGACAACAAAAAATAAAGCACAGGGCTTGGCTTTCTGCTTGGACTTTTTTCATGTCCTACTTCAGTAGGTAGCAGTATAATGGCTAGATTTCACAGGACTGTATGAAGAGAACTTGAGAGCGAGATTCTGAAGAAGAGAATCCACAAACCCTCTGAATGATGTAAGGCAAGAGACAACCATAGCATTGCACAAGATTGATTGCCTCTACAGTCTAGGGAAATAGCGTCCTGGATTGGCAAAGATTTTGATGGTAGGTGCAACCTGTTGCAAACATGACTAGGTTTCTTTCATGGGCTAAGCTCAAAATTTGGACTGAATTATCATTATGATGTAATGTAAATGTTTTAATCAGCATGCTTAACTTGAATGTTCTAGAAGTTCTGAAGAAAGCCTTTTTAATAATCTGCTAGGTTATGACTCTAGGATTGAGTTCAGATAGTTAATATAGAGCTTGATAATAGCAGTGATAATAATGATGGCAGGTTACTTTTCTGTCTTGCTCTGTTCCAGGGATGGAGGTCTGAAACGAGCAAAAGTCAAAGATACTTTCAAGGAAGAACAGCAGAAAAACTTCAGCAAGATGCTAGTGAGAAATGGATCAGTAGGAAACCTATCTCCAGGAACAGAGTCAGACTGAACGGTGGTTCTTGAAAACTAATTTTGCACAACCAGCCTTAGCAGGAATAGTGGTTTTTTAATTAAAAACAAACAAAACCCACCACCAAAAATTAAAACCAAAACATGAACTAGAGAAACAAAATCTGTCATCACCTGTATGCATATTCTCTGTATGGCTGGTGCAGAGCCTGCCAATGACGGCTCTCCCTCCCTTTTCACTCTTCTCACTCTCCTGCCCATCTTCATGTGATGATGCACTGCAGCTCCTGGTATTCTTGAGCTGAATGTGTGTGGACTTGAGACAAAAATTAAAAAGCATCAACTTTCTGAGTTTGTAAGGGTGAAGGGAAATACACCAAACAAATGCTGTTGGAACACTGGTTGTGGAGATACCTCTTGTTCATGGTACTTTGAAGGTTTAAGCATAACAAAATTTTGCCTTTTCCTGTTGCTCACAGACTTTTTAGTTGTAGATTACTTAATTAACATGTTTTAGGGTGTTGTCAGAACTGTAATATTGACTTTTCTTGGTTAGCTTGCACCTGGATGTGCAAGGGAGGAAGGGAATCAAGGACTGCAGGCCCTAAAGGGTGGGGAAAGAGCTGCCCTGCCAAAAGCACAGTTTCTGAACCGTGGAGAATTTGGTGGCCTTATAACATGGTATTACCTTTATTGAGAACTGCTACCTGAGGGAGGGAAGATAAGGGGCAAGTCGTCAATCTCCCTGTCCACTGCTACCGTCAAAATTGCTTTCTTGAGATCTGGAGCTGTAAAGACACCACAAGCAGCTGTTTAACATATAGGCTATGACAGATGAATTTTTGAGTTGGCTTTTCAAGACTACCCTTCTGCAAAAATGGCTGCTAATGGCTTAAAGATCTCAAGAGAGCCACTCCAGAAACACATTTATGTGGATCTGGGCTAGAAATAACTATCGCAGCTATAAACATAGGATCCATGTCGTCTGTGATACAAGTGTGGCATGTTCAAATCTGCAATATACTGTTGTCTGAATGTAAAGAGAAATAAATTCTATATTTCTAATGGGTCTTGTGTCGTGTTTATACTCTTTTTCTCTAAATGTGTATAAATAAACCAGTTGTACTTCCTGAAAACTTAAAATCAGGGTCGTGGAAACTTAAGTCACATAGTGACATAAAGAAAACTTAAGTCCTTTAGTGACATAAAGGAACAATTGTTGTTGAGCTGTTACCTGATTTCTAACCTGAATTGTTTCCTTCCCCCCCCCCTTCATTGGGCACTAAGGAACATACATGGCTTAGCGTCCTTCCTTTCTAGGGAAGGAATAATTCATCATGCATCCTGAACTTGAAATTGCAACATGAAGTCACATCAGGTAGACTCAACTAATGAATCTGTAATTGACTGGAAAACAACTTGTGAACTTCTAAATTTGTAACAAACTGAATTCATTTGTAAGTAGTCTTTTCCTTTAGCAAAGATACTCTCAATTTAATGCTGAAAAAAAACCCCAACCTGTCCCATAGCTGATGATCAAGTTTAAAAATCTCTTAGAACATAGTCTCACAAAAAAGGGTTTCTGATCTGTTTTCTGTTATCCTGCAGTCCATGCACTTATGCAAGGACAAATATATATTTGTTCATTAGAAATTATATAGGCATGCAGCATATCATACCTTGTATTGGAAATCTGGTTGTGAAGCCTGTTGGAGGTATGTGACCTTGGAAGAAACACATTGGGAAGGGGCTCTTTGAGAAATGTTTTCAGGTTTAGCGTGGCAGGCCTTTAAGAACAGGATTTTTTTTTCATGTTAAAAGGGTTAGAGTGGTAAGACAAGTGAGACAAAGGTTTAGGGTTTTTTTATTGCCTAATGTGAATCTAGTTCAGCTCTGAACTGAATTATATTATTACTGTTAAGATGAACTGTTCATACAAGTTTGGGGCTGATGAGTGTATTTGTCATAATTTATGGATATTAGCTGTGATCTTGAGCTTTCCAGGGAAGCTCACCTTTTTGAAAACACCTACATGTGTGTGCCCAATACACAGAAAATACTATTTAGGTAACACATTTAAAAATCTATTACGTATGAATACTCAGGTGTGTATATAGAATATTTCTTCTAAGGTATATATTGTGATGTATTCCTCTGTAGATGGAATAGAAATTGTTTTGATGAAGGTTTGAATATATGATTCTGAAGAGAATCTTTATAGTCAGTTTATGGACTGATGTCCCTTTCTTTCTTCCTGCTTTTGGAGTTCATCATCAGTAACTGAGGTACAGTGGTTTCTGAAGTCTCAGCTGTGCTCACTGGATGCCCTGTTAGGTGGACATGGTTAGAGCAGCAGGACTGTGAGCTCTGGGAAAAGTGCTAAAGACTGCTGTTGCTTCTTTCTTAGGACAGAAGTGGCTTTTAAGACAAAAAGTCTTGGCTAAGTCAAAGAATGACTGCAATATGGTAATACAATGACATTGAAGAAACTCCATTGGCAAATCAAATGGAATTTTATGACTTCAGAAACTGACTTCGACAGATTTACAAATAACATCTACTGAACTCAAAACAAAATCTGCCTTTTCCCCTGACAGATCTGTCAAATGTTGCAGCTGAATTTGATCAGCAGAGACAGCTGAAGAAATCCATGCAGCAGTTGCAGATTGAAGTTTTTGTTCCTGGTGCTGGGCACATAGAGCGTTGTTTCTTATTTAAGGACATAAGTACTTATTTTTGTTTAGATTTAGAGGAAGACCTTTGAGTTTAGAGAAGGGATGCCCCCCTTTCAGACTATTAACAAAACATGTATGTTATTTACTGGCTTAGGCAAAAAGACCCCATGTAGTTGGTTTTTAAGATGGTGTTGGAATCCAATTTAAGTTGGTAATTCTTTTCCTGTTGCTGAAACCTAGACTATTTCTACCTTGAACACATTGGGTATAGTCAAGGGTATCCTGTTAAGTTGCTCTGCCTCTAATACATTAAACATATGCAGGCTGTCATTACAGGAAACTCATACTTGATATGGAGACTAAAGAAAATACTCAAGAGTCCTTGGAAACTTGTTACGAAAAACTTGGTATTTGCTCTGGAAGCTCCTGAACCAAAATCCAATTTATGTTTTACCCTGAACTTTAAGGTATTTAATGTCCTGGTTCTCTTCACTACTAAACAAGTTGATAGAGGTTTCTGTTTTAAGATTTAGGTCTTCCCCTCTCGTCCCCAGTATTTTTCTGAGTAGAAGATAAAAGCCTTGAAGGTTTTCAGGTTGAGGCTGGCAAATGTGATGTGTTCCTGCTCATCTTTGTTTTGACTCTATTTTCTCAAGAATCGGGTCATTCAGATATTATCCAACCTGCAAGGAGGAATGGAAAGGTATTTAAGCAGTATTGAGGTATTTAAGGAAAGGTCAAAAGAACAGCCTGAAGACACATAACTATAGTGAAAGTGGACTTCAACTATGAAGCCTTGTCCAAGGTACTAGTACTAATGCCCTAGGAGGTTCCTAGTTACTGATTTTTTTTTTTTTGTGGATGCTGGACATTAAGTAGCTGTTGGATAAAAAAAAAAAAACAACAAAAAATCAGTACTAGGACTAATGTGGCCTGATTTTTATATGCTATTATGCCTGAACTTGGGCTGCAAGCTATAATTGAAGTTGTGGTATAATATGTTTTCATAGAATGATTTGGTTTGGAAGGGATGCTTAAAGATCACCTAGTCCAACCCCCCTGCAATGAGCAAGGACATCTTCAACTAGATCATGTTGCCCAGAGCATCCTGTCTAACCTGATCTTGAGTGTTTCTGGGGTGGGGAATCTACCACCTCTCTGAGCAACCTGCACCAGTGTTTCGCTGCTCTCAAAGAAAAAAAAATTCTTCATAATATCTAGTCTGAATCTACCCTCTTATAGTTTAAAACCATTACTCCTTGTACTATTGCTGCAGGCCCTACTAAAAATTCTGTCCCTATCTTTCCTATAAGTCCCCTTTAAATAGTGAAAGGCCGCAATAAGGTCTCCTTGGAGCCTTCTCCAGGCTGAACAACCCCAGCTTTCTTAGCCTGTCCTCAGAAGGCTAGAACACCTCTCCTGATCATCTTCATGGCCCTCCTCCGGACCTGCTTCAACTGGTCCATGTCTTCTCTATGCTGAGGAGTCCAGAGCTGGATGCAGTACTTCTAGGTGTGGTCTCAGTAGAGGAGGAAAATTGCTTTCGTTGACCTCCTGGTCATGCTTCTTTTTGATGCAGCCAAGGATATGGTTGGCTTTCTGAGTTGCAGGCACACACACTGCTGGGTCATGTCCAGGTTTTCATCCACCAGTACCTCTTAAGTCCTCTGCTGGGCTGCTTTTAATGCCATCATCCTAGCCTGTATTGATACTGGGGCTTGCCCTGACCCAGGTGCGGGACCTTGCACTTGGCCTTGTTGAACATCACTGAGTTCATGTTGGCCCATTTCTTGAGCTTGTCCAGGTCCTTCTAAATGGCATTCTGTCCCTTGAGTGCATCACTGCAGCTGTTGGCTTGGTGTCATCTGCAAATTTGCTGAGGGCACACTTGATCCCACTATGTCATTGATGAAGATACTAAACAGTACTGGTCCCAGTATGGCCCCTGAGGGCCACCACTTGGAGCATGGATATAGGCAAGTATGTGCTGCAAAACATGGATCTTGACTCGGCCATGTGTGAGCATATGCAGTTGGACTATGAAGTGGCTAAAAAGTCTGGGGTTTTAAATATTAATTTAGATGACAAATTAGCTCTTTGAGTCTAACAGTGAGGGTGAACTTACTTTGTTTCAGCTGTGCTTTTTGGCACTGCTGCCTGTGAAGAACGTGTCCATGCTCTTACCAGCTCTGAGTTGTTTCCATCCAGGATGTTCGGGGTTTTGTTGTTGTTTCCCTGAAATGAATATCATTAAAAATGCAGAAATGTGACCTCGAGTCAAGATACAGACTCTAGTGATTGTTCACTGTCTCCATCTTTTTATTAGATTTTATGAGGCTGTTTTTTCCCCAGATTTGATGGATAAAATCCATACAAATGCAATACAAGCACAGTCAGTAAATAATAATGAAAAGTTAAATTCATTTTACAGAGAAGCCAGT